CCTGTTTGGGAGGACTTTGATTTGCTGTGTGGGTGCAGGCCGTGAGGAATCAGAATGTGGAAGGCACAGTCTATGGCACAAAGCACTGACGGGTCCCCACGGGAGCAAATAGGACGGGCCAAGGTGGGGAGGGGGCTGGATGCACTTGGCTCTGCCTTGGGGTAGGGATCCAGGGATGACTGGTAGGGAAGACGGGGGAAGCGGCAAGGAGAAGCCCAGGAGATTCTAAAACAAGGAGATGACTTGATTGGCAACACAACGTGTACAGTTTAGGATTCGCTTGACTCTCAGTATTCCCGGGTAAAGTGACTTCTCTCCAGGATGAGAAACCATTTTGCAGACCCTGTTTACCTGGACTGTGGTATTTGCCAGCGAGTCCTCCGTGAATGTGCTCAGGTCAGCTTGTCTAAGCAGCCAGGATGGCAGAAGCCCTCTGACTTCATGTCTGAAAGGGTACGTGTTCCGGCTGTATAATTACCAGCATTTAACAGCCCATACGTATCAGCCCTCTTTTGAGATGGCTTTTGGCAAATGGGGTAGAAATCTATTACGCATTTAAATTGTACTCAGCCTTCTCTTTAAAAGGTTTCCTCAGCAAGTCCGCCCCATTCCATATCCAAGTATGTCTCAGACCATGAAGCTAAAGGAAGTAGGTAGTTTATTCTTTTTAGTTGGAGAATAAAATGAAATCTCCACTCCAATGGTAGGTACATGGTGGGAAAAAATGACATCTCCTAAAAGTTTAATCATTAGGCAAGGAGAGGGCAGAGGAGTGCTCAGTAATGGGGAAACCTCAAAAGATTGAGAATTACAGACAGACAAAGCTGAACATTGGCTGTCATCCAACAAAGCTCTTAAAAGACTGGAGTCACTGCCCTGTTCTTGAGCTCTGACCTGGAGGGAAGAGGAGTCTGAGAGACCTGGCACAGACTTGAGAGTGCTTAATTGACTTTCTGGTTCAGGGCTCTCTTTAGCCCTCAGGGAAGGAGGGGAGGGTGGCTGGGGGGTGGGGTGCAGGTAGGCCTTTCTCCATGAGTGCAAATGTCTAGACTGGCTTGTCTACAATCCCCCTGTAGGTTATCTTAACCTCTTCCTGGTTCAGTTTCCAGACTGGAAGGACATAGAATGCCACTGTCCACACTCACCCTGCTTGCCTCTAGCCTGGAAAACAGTGACTTTCCTTTTCTACCAACTGACAGCTGCCTCATGCTTTAAGGATCTGAATAAAGAGAAGTGGAGGGGAGGGGAAGAGAAAGAACTAGAGAAACTATAGTGCTTAAGCTCTGACCTCAAAGTACAGAGACTGCTAGTTTTCACAAAGCATGAAATCTTTCCATCCCATTGACCTCCATCTCCTACAAAAATGCCCTTGGAGGATAATACATTTTGCCTTGATGCTATTGTTGAATATTGTTACCAAGAATTCTTCCTTGTGCACTTCCTCAGGCAACTTCAGTTCTTTACTCCGTCAGCGAGCAGATTGTTGGAAATAGCCAAGGGTTACTCAACTGGTTACCATATAAGGTACTGTTTGGTGTTGGCAATAAAGGTGGAAATGAAGCAATAAGACTGCTTTTCTTTGTGGTTTATAAATTAACTCTGATGTCAGTTTTTAAAGAGGAGTCTAGAAATATTTTGAGCAAAGCAAGACTCACTGAGATAGGTCAATTGTCCTAAGTGTGGCCAGTATACCAGGTACTATGCTAACAGCTGTTGAATAAAATTTAGGGGAGGTCATTGTTTAGGACTGAGTTCCTGCACTAGCCTCCAATAGACGAAACCAAAATGGCACCATTCATGCTAAGGTTCCATGTCACCAGACCAAAACTAACTTACATGGCCTTTCAAAAAATGAGGAGAGAATGGCCCCATTCCTAGTGTCAAAGTTGCCAGTACCAAAATGGAGTCATTTATGTCAAACTCTAACAAAGTAGAGCTACAAGATCAAGAAGGCATTCCTTGCATAACTGTATATGTTTATGACAGAAGCTATCCAAGGAACTCAAGTTCCCAGTAGTTCAGATAAGCTGCTCTTGTAAAGGCATTTGCTGAACAAAGGCAACAAGCTTCTGTGAGCAGTGGTCTTTGTTTAAAGACAGCTTGTGTAGACTTCTCCTGTTTTCTTCTTCCTCTTCTTCTTCCTCCTCTTCTCCTCCTCCTCCTCCTTCTTTTTTTATTATTTTTGCCATAGTGCATGTGTGCTCTCTGGAGAGAGTGAGAGAGAGTGAGAGAGTGAGAGGGAAAGTGAGAAATCATGCCCAGAAGGGATGGCCATTCCACAGTCCCTTCTCTTTTATTCTTCTGGGATTTGGGGCTCGCACACACACATGCCCTGTGAGATTTTCAAGCCAATCAGTCTGGGATTCAAACTGCGGTTGACCATGTGGGAATCTAGCACCTTAACCACTATGCAACCTGGTGGCCCCTTCTTCTTCTTTTTGTTTGTGAAGTTTTTGTGATAGGTCACATGCACTCACCAGAGAGAGACAGAGACAGTCAGAGGGAAAGTGAGAAATCACTCCCCAGTGGGGATGGCCATGCAGCAATCCCTTCTTCTCCATTCTCCTCCTGGGATCTTGGGCACACATACACACATACCTGATGCAATTTTCATGCCTCCAGGCCTCCAGGTCTGGGATTCAAACTGCAGTCACCCATGTGAGAATTCAGTACCTTAACCACTATGCCATCTGCTGGACCCACCTTCTTCTTTTTAAAAAAGTTTATTTGGTTATTTCTTCCATGGGAGTGAGACCCAGAGATGTGCACCCTCAACAGTCTCTTCATGCTGGTTTCAGCTGACCTGGATCACAGGTATACATGTACACACCTGGTGTGTTCAGGAGGCCCCAGGATGTGAACCCAGCACCCTGTTGGTCCAGTTGTGTTAGCACAGCACCACTGCCTGGCCCCTAAATCCTGACGGAATGGAGAAATAGAGGAGATGGGATTGCAGCGTGACCATATCCGGGTGAGAAGTGCGGTGAGAAGTGCTTTCTTTATCTCCCTCTTCCTCTTTCTCCTGCTCTCTGTCTCTCTCAGGCATCCTCTGGCAAATAAATAAATAAATAAGTAAGTAAATAAAGTCATTTATGTCAAACTCTAACAAAGTAGAGCTACAAGATCAAGAAGGCATTCCTTGCATAACTGTATATGTTTATGACAGAAGCTATCCAAGGAACTCAAGTTCCCAGTAGTTCAGATAAGCTGCTCTTGTAAAGGCATTTGCTGAACAAAGGCAACAAGCTTCTGTGAGCAGTGGTCTTTGTTTAAAGACAGCTTGTGTAGACTTCTCCTGTTTTCTTCTTCCTCTTCTTCTTCCTCCTCTTCTCCTCCTCCTCCTCCTTCTTTTTTTATTATTTTTGCCATAGTGCATGTGTGCTCTCTGGAGAGAGTGAGAGAGAGTGAGAGAGTGAGAGGGAAAGTGAGAAATCATGCCCAGAAGGGATGGCCATTCCACAGTCCCTTCTCTTTTATTCTTCTGGGATTTGGGGCTCGCACACACACATGCCCTGTGAGATTTTCAAGCCAATCAGTCTGGGATTCAAACTGCGGTTGACCATGTGGGAATCTAGCACCTTAACCACTATGCAACCTGGTGGCCCCTTCTTCTTCTTTTTGTTTGTGAAGTTTTTGTGATAGGTCACATGCACTCACCAGAGAGAGACAGAGACAGTCAGAGGGAAAGTGAGAAATCACTCCCCAGTGGGGATGGCCATGCAGCAATCCCTTCTTCTCCATTCTCCTCCTGGGATCTTGGGCACACATACACACATACCTGATGCAATTTTCATGCCTCCAGGCCTCCAGGTCTGGGATTCAAACTGCAGTCACCCATGTGAGAATTCAGTACCTTAACCACTATGCCATCTGCTGGACCCACCTTCTTCTTTTTAAAAAAGTTTATTTGGTTATTTTTTCCATGGGAGTGAGACCCAGAGATGTGCACCCTCAACAGTCTCTTCATGCTGGTTTCAGCTGACCTGGATCACAGGTATACATGTACACACCTGGTGTGTTCAGGAGGCCCCAGGATGTGAACCCAGCACCCTGTTGGTCCAGTTGTGTTAGCACAGCACCACTGCCTGGCCCCTAAATCCTGACGGAATGGAGAAATAGAGGAGATGGGATTGCAGCGTGACCATATCCGGGTGAGAAGTGCGGTGAGAAGTGCTTTCTTTATCTCCCTCTTCCTCTTTCTCCTGCTCTCTGTCTCTCTCAGGCATCCTCTGGCAAATAAATAAATAAATAAATAAATAAATAAATAAATAAATAAATAAATAAATAAATAAATAAATAAATAAATAAATAAATCCTCTGGCAAATAAATAAATAAATAAATAAATAAATAAATAAATAAATAAATAAATAAATAAATATAAATAAAAATAAAGTAGATCAGATCATGTCACTCCTGTGCTCAAGACCTTCACTGCTTTCCCAATTTTCTTAGAATAAAGCCAAATTAAGCAGGACCCAGAAGGTGCTCATAGTCTGGGAGGGCTACCTCTCTGACTTTCTCTCCTACCTTTCCCTCTGCTCTAGTCCTCCTGGCTTCTTGTTCTTCCCTCAATGTTTGTCCTACCTTTCACAATTGTCCCATGGGACAACGAGGCTTGTCTCATGTCCAGGAATTTGCATTTACCAGTTCTTCTGCCTATCATGTTCTTTGATCTTGGCACTGCTAGTTCATTTTTATCTTGTTTCAGCCTGTCTGCAGCTAATCACCTCAGATCTCAGAGAAGTTGACACTAACCTCAACCCCTAGTAAAGAGAAAACAGCATTTTCTTACAGATAGTATCAACCAGTGATGGGGCTGGGATTGTCAGTGGACACTAAAACCACTAGTTTAGTGGGGATTGGAATATTTGCATAGGTTATTTATCAGCTACAAAAGGGAAAGATAACATCTTTACTGTGGAGAGAGATGATGGGAAACTCGTCAACGGTGTGACCAAATTTAACATTGCCAGTTAGGGAACATATAGATACCATGTACCTCCTGATGTGAAGTACGAGGAAGGACACACATCAATCATGTCAGTGCAGTTCCTGCCGAAATACGGAGCTCGAATGTAATCACGATGAAGCGTCAGGAAAAATCTAAACCTGGGCACATTCTACAAAATAATTACAAACAACAAGGTCAGGAAATAAGAGAAAGAGGTAACAGTGATCCTTATGGACAATTATATGATTTTCGTGTCTTAAATAAATAAGATGGAAAGCTATTAACAGATTTTGAGCTGAGAGTGACATAATATGACTTGATTTAAAAATGATTGCTTTGCTTTAGCTGCTAGATTCAGAATAGTCTATGTGGGGGTGGGGATCAAAGCCATGTGGCCAGTGAGGAGGCTATTGCAATAATCCGAGCATGTGGTGACTTGGACCCAAAATTCCAAACATAAAAATAGAGTACAATTAATATGCCACCGTATACCCATAACCCAGTTAATTATTATCTAATGGGTAATCTCATTTCATTTTCACTCCTACCCGCTTTCCCCTACCGTTTTATTTTTATACAAGTCTCTGATGTATCATTTCATTCTGGATGTGTGTTTAAGAATTTTACAAAGGGCTTTGATGTGGGATGTGAGGAAAAGGAGTCAAAGATGTCTTCAAAGTTTGCCATGAAGGAAGGAGGTACAATTTATCAAAATGGTGAAGACCGTAGGTGGACTAATTTTGTGAAGGAAATGATTGAGAGATTACTTCTGTTCATGTATAGTTCACAATGCCTATTTAGCATTCCAGAAGTTGATATACAAGTCTGGATGTCAGGAAGAGATTGAGGCTGTAGAAATAAATGTCAGGATTGTCAGATTATAGATAGTATCTAAAATGGAAAGACTGAACCTACAGCCTCTGGTAATCACAGACTAGCTTGTGTCAGACTAAGTCTTTTGCTGATAATAATGATAAATTTTGGAGGCATGAGGCAGCGACCTACATCATACATATACTGGAGGAGATTTAAACCTTGAGAGAAAGGAATCGCACTGGGTGAGACCCATATTTATACAGCTCCCTGTCTCCCACCCCACAAGCATGATCACTAGCCACACAAGAGAAGTGGATATAATTTAATCAGAGTTGCAGCCTTACTATGCTGAGGCCACTAAAAGTGCTGAAAATAGAAGAAGAAAGGATGAATTACAGAGCAGAAAGTACCAAAATCTCTCTGTAAATACTCCTTAAATTTCACCTGAGTCTTTAACTGTGCATGTCAGGGGTCAAAACTCCAAAGTTCTCAGAGGAAAGTAACAACTGGGCCAAAAAAAAGTAAGAAGAGATATCAGCTTCTTCCTGTAATGTAAGTCCTTTAAAGGTAAAAGAACCTAATAAGGACCTCAGATTTTCCATTGAAATTCTAGAAAGACTACCCCTAAAAAGCACACAACCCTAGGAAGAAGGAACTAGCTATAGACTTATGGACCAAACTGAGATAGACTTACTAAAATAGGACCTAAAAATCAAGCTATCTCTGGATTAGGATGAGTAGCAGTAATTTAACAGCTTGTTAGAAAAATCCTCTTCAGAAGAAGATAACAGTATCTAGTTGCTACAATAAATTCTCCAGTGTCCAATGTACCATTTAAATGACAAGAAATGCAAAGAAACAGAAAGATGTGACCCACAAAGAAAAATTAGTCAAGACAAGCAGACCCATAAATAATGCAGATGTTAGAATTAGAAGAAAAGAACTATGAAATAAATTTGTTAAGTTTTTTGAAGAATCAATAGGAATGATATATTAATTGATGAAGAGACAGAAAATGTGAGGAACATTATGGAAACTATAAAATGAATTTTATGGAAATCCTAGAAGTAGAATATATAATAATGCAATACAAAGTTTACAAGAGTGGATACAAAGAGTGTATCAGTGATTTAAAATCATCATCCACTGAAGAATACAGAGGATAAACTATTGAAAGAAATGAACAGATCCCTAATGACTTGTATCACAATATATAACCACACATGTGACTAGAATTTTAGAGGGAAGATCAAATGGGACAGATGTATTTAAAAAAACAGTAACCAAAATTGGGAACCAGCAGTTAGTGTAATGGCTATGTTGCTGGACTCCCACGTAGTCGACCGTGGTTCACTTCCCGGACCCGGTGGCTTAAAACCCACGCTGGGCGCGTGTGCATGCATGCCCAAGATCCCGAGAGGAGAATGGAGGAGAAGGGATTGCGGCGTGACCATCCCCCCTGGGGGGTGATTTCTCGCTTTCTGTCTCTCTGTCTCTCTCTGTCTGGCGAGCGCATGCACCCTATAGTGAAAAAAAAAAAAAAACTCTAAAAAAATAGTAACCAAAATTTTTCGAGTTTTCTCAAAAACAACAGTCCACAGATACAGAAATATCAGTAAACCCTAAGCAGAATAAAAACAATGAAACTCACACCTAAGTACACATAGTTAAATGATTAATCCACCAAAGAGAGACAAACATATTAGGGCCAAGTGGTAGTACAGTGGTAACACAACTGAAACACACAAAAATTTCTGGGTGTGTGTGCATGATGTGGGCTAGCTGAGACTAGGGGTGGATTGTGGCATAAAAACCCTATTAGAAGTTCCCCTCATGACCAGCAGATGGTGGAATGGTTACATCACTGGACCCCTACATGGTTGACCATGGTTTGAATCCCGAATCTGGTGGCTTGAAACTCACGCTAGGTGTGTGTGTGCGGGCCCAAAATCCTGAGAGGAGACTGGAAGAGAAGGGATTTGGGAGCAGCCATCTCCCCTGGGGGGTGATTTCTTGTTTTCTATTTCTCTATCTCTTTCTGTCTCTCTGGTGAATGTATGCAACCTATAGAAAAAAACACTAAACAAACAAACAAACAAACAAAAACCTCCTCTTTCGCTCAGAAGAAATTAATAAAAAAAACTATAAAAATAGAAAAGAAAAAAGACCCATTATATACATGGATCCTCCAGTTTTTTTAAAAAATGGCTAAATTTTCATCAGAAAAATAAGTTACTAGACAATGAATAAACCTTCTGAGAGCTGAAAGAAAACCAAACATTAAAGAAAAAACAAATCCCTCTCAACCTAGAATTCTATATTCTGTAAAACTTCATTTAAAAAATGAAGGTGAAATAAAGATATTTTCAGATACACAAAAGCTAAGAGAACTTATTGCCAGCAGGTGCATACAATAAGAGGTGAAAGGTGATCAAAGAAATATTTCAGGCTGAAAGGCAATGATACCAGACAGAGAGGGATAGAGTACACCGAAATTGTTGTGTGTGGGTAAATATGAAGTCATGGGTTGGGCGAGATCTCTACGGATGTAGTTATGGATAGGGAGAGAAGAGACGCAAGAACTGCGCTTTTGGGTATCAAAATGTTGGGAAGGCAAGGAGAAACTAGCAAAGGAGATTGAGTAGGAGCTGCCAGTGAGGTGGGAGGAAAACTAAGGCATTGTGGGGTAGAAAATGGTCAACCTGTCAAATACTACTGATGCCATTAGGTCAAATTAGAGACTTAGAAGTCATCACTGTGTTTAGCAACCTGGAAGCCATTGGTGTCCATGGCAGGAGCTTAGAGGGTGGAGTGATTGGGGAGGAAGCCTGATCAGAGTGATTGTCAGATCATTAAAAATTGGGGGCGAGGGGATAGCAATACATATTAGGAGACAATCCATGCTCTCTCTCTCTCTCTCTTTATTTTTTTAGAGAGGTTTTTGCTATAGGTTACATGTGCTCACTGAAGAAAGAGAGAGACAGAGAGACAGAAAGCAAGAAATCACCCCCCGGGGGGAGTGGCCATGCCATAATTCCTTCTCTATTCTCCTTTTGGGATTTTAGGCATGCATGCACATGTGCCCAGCACGAGTTTTAAGCCACCGGGTCCAGGACTCAAACAGTGATTTACTACGTGGGAGTCCAGTGATGTAACCATTATGCCATCTGCTGATCCCCAACCCATGCACTTCTAGGTGAGAATTAAATGGTAAAAATTCTCAGCTTATAGTAACGGCCTGCTACTAGTTACCTACCTTCTGTCTCCAGCGGGAGGTTGACACCGACCTGATCCCTGCAATGGAATAAGCTAAAGCTGAGGGAACTTCATTGGATGATGACTTTAAGTTCACTGATCTAGAAATGGGGCAAAGTACCAGTATTCTACCATGGTCTTTTCTCTCCAGGCTCCTTGTCCAGGGGTCCAGAGTCTTGGGTAGCCAGAAGTTTATGGTGCACTGCTAGTGACAGGTGCTGAGACAGGGTCCTGCAATGTGAGATGTGAAATTTGGGGAGAGGTACATAAAGCTATGTCAGAAGTGGCAGCTCCCCAGTACCCAGTTGCCACAGGAAGACTTCCTGAGAAGGCTCTCCTATGTGACACCTGTTTTTTTCCCCTGCCCATTGGCCTAAATGACAGCAACTCAGCTAGGATGCTTGTGGCTGAGAAGAGCAGAAATCCAATTTAAAATAGCCTAAATAGTGGGAAAGTTTAATGTCTCACAAAACAGAAGTCTCCAAGTAGCCTAGGCTCCAAGTGGTCCTTGCAGAGTTACTCATAGCTCTGTGCTCTACTGTCCCTCATTCATTTATTCAACAAATATTTATTAGGTCATTCCTTCATGCCGGGCACTGCTTTACAGGGTAGAGCCACATCAATGAGCAAAACAAATCAAAGTGCTTCTCTAGGCATTCACATTCTATTTTGCAGAGACAAATACAAGAAGTGCATGTGATGATAAATGGTATGAAAGTAAACTGGGTGAGGGAATAGCAAGTGGTAGAAGTTGTGAGGAATCCATTTTGTATAGAATGTTCAGGTAAAACCTCTCTGATAAAGTGACATTTGAGCAGAGACCTGGGGAAACAAGCCATGTGGGTATCTAGGAGAAGAACATTCCAGGCTGAGGGAAGAGCAAACACCACAATCTGATGAGGGAGTTGCTTAGTTAGGGGGTGTTAGGATGGCTTAGGTGCACAGGTGCACAGGTGAGGTGCCCTAGGAGATGAAGACAGAGAGGTGGTAGTGATGGGCCAGACCCCATTGACTTTGCAGAAGTCACTGGATTCTACTCTGCAGGAGAAGCCCTTGGATGATTTTGAAAAGAGAAGTGCCTTGATTTAATTTAGTCCTGAGTAATTGCTCCATCCTGGAGAAGGCCAGGGGCAGAAGCAGGAGCCCAGTTACCTGGCTCTTGCAATAAGAATCTGGGTGAAACCTGATGGCCACTTGACCTAGGCTGGTAGCAGTAGAAATGGTGAGAAATAGTCCAAGTTAGGATATGTTTTGAAGGTGGGGCAGACAGAGTTTGCTTTTGAACTGGATAAATGAGAAACTCAAAATTGTTGATCCGAGCAACATGAGAATGGGATTACTAATAACAGAGTCGGAAGACTTGAGCTGGGGGTTAATAGTTTGGGGGTTGGGAACCAGCAGTTAGCATAATGGCTATGTCGCTGGACTCCCACGTAGTCAACCGCGGTTCACGTCCCGGATCCGGTGGCTTAAAAAACTCACGCTGGGCGTGTGTGCGTGCGTGCCTAAGATCCCGAGAGGAGAATGGAGGAGAAGGGATTGCGGCGTGACCATCCCCCCTGGGGGGGTGATTTCTCGCTTTCTGTCTCTATGTCTCTCTCTGTCTGTCTGGTGAGCGCACGCGCCCTACAGTGAAAATCTCTCCAAAAAAAAAAAAATAGTTTGGGGGTTAAAATCAAGTGGTGTAGTTTTGAACTTGTTCAATGTGTCCAAGTGGAACTGTTGATTAGGGAACTGGATATATAAACCTGAAGTTTAAGGGAGATGATGGAGCTAGAGACCCAAGTTTGGAGTCAACAGGATACAGGTGATACTAAATTTCATATGGCTGATGTATTGCCTAGGAAGGGAGATAGAAAGGGGATAAGTAAGGATCAAAAGGAAGTAAAAGGATTAAGCCCTGATTCCCCAAAGGCTAATGGTTGGAAAAATGAGTTGAAACTATTCGATCATTGGAAAAGTCTTAACACATTTTGCATAGAAAAACAGAAAAGCACATATTAGGTGGTCGGGAAAGTCATGACCCATTTTTCTGTTTTTCTATGCAAAAATGTGTTATGACTTTCCTGATGATCCAATAGTAAGGCGATTGTGCAGAAGTGACCAGTGAAATGTGGAGGGAACAAAGCAATAGAGTTGTCCCTGGGACCAAGTTCAGGAAGGACAGAATGACTGTGTCGAGTACTACCGGTGGGTAAGAAAGGCAAGAACCAATTCACCCTTAGATTGACTATGTGCAGGTTACTGGTGACTGGACAAGACCAGTGTCTGTGTGTGGTGGATGAAAGTCCTGAATGGAGTAAGCCAAGAGAGGATGGAAATTGAGAAATCTGAGAGAGCAGAGGTGTCATGTTTGGAGGAGTGTTGCCATAAGCATGGATAGTGATAATAAGGTGGTACCTGGAGAGGGAGGTGGGGACATGGATGGTTTTTGAAGATGGGAGATGAGACAGCATGTCTGATTTTACGAAGGATTCCAAGAGAAGGAGAAATGCAGGATGTATGTCAGGGAGGTGGAGGTGATGGCTGTGACCAGGCAAGAGGAGATGAGTCTAGTGTACAAGTGGAGGATCATCGGTTAGGAGCATGGCATGTTCAAGCAGAGAGAAGAGAAGGCAGAGGGCATGCACTTGGATGCAGTTAAGTTGGGCAACTGCTGAGGAAGGTGTGTGAATGTTTCCTCTACGTCTATCTCCAGTGCCATACAATGGACAGTTCACTAGAGTGTAAAGGGGAGAGGAGGTGTTGGACACTTGGAAAGAATGGAAAGGGCATGAAACAGCGATGGAGGAGTTGGGAATTAAGTGGATTAGGCAAAGAGAGAAGAGCTGCTGGAGGTACCAAGAGTCCTTTGCAGGGGAGTAGTAATGGTTTTAAGTGAGACAGGAAATCTTTGGGGAGACTATTGTTCATCTGTAGGAACATTCAACAGCCCTTTCTCAAATAGCACTACATTTTCCTGCCCTGATGACATCAGGCTTGGGTGTAAGACATTCATTGATCATCGAAATTTGAATGGAAGTGATGTATGTCACATCTAAGCAGAGCTTTATGGGATAACATGGGGTTTCCTTGTTCTCTGTTTCCTCTGCCCAAGACTGGCTATGTCCCAGGGTAGGGTGCTCCATCATCCTGGAGGCTGCAGTGAAGAAGATGGGGAGAAGATTCACAGCTGGACTTGAAGTGAACATGCTCTGTGAGTGAAGAGCACTTGAAGTGGCCAGCCTCTGAGATCTGAGGGCTGTTTGTTACGGAGGTGTGGCCTATGCTGACTGATACAGCCTAGTTGTATACCTTTCTCCAGCTATCTCTGCAGATGCAGAGAGAATAGATTCTCACTTAACCAGCAGGGGAGGTTTGCTAGAGGGACATGACAGAGGGAGCAAGGGACACAGATTTTAAGGATGTATTTAATGGAGCCTGAACAGGAGAAGGGAAGGGAGGGAAATGCTAGATTCATCCTGAAGTTCCTTTCCTTACAGTTATAAGGTGGCTTCTAGGGACAAGAAGGACCAAATATTCCTTTGCTCATATCCCTGAGAAAAATATTTCCTTTTGTTCAGTTGGGAATTTTGGCAACAAAGTGATTCACCAAGCTTTCTCTCTTTTATTCCCCAAGCTCTCTCTCTCTTTTTTTGGGGGGAGAGATTTTCACTATAGGGCGTGTGCGCTTGCCAGACAGACAGAGACATACATAGAGACAGAAAGCGAGAAATCACCCTCCAGGGGGGATGGTCATGCCGCAATCCCTTCTCCTCCATTCTCCTCTCGGGATCTTGGGCACGCACGCACACGCGCCCAGTGTGAGTTTTAAGCCACCAGGTCCCGGATGCGAACCGCGGTCGACTACGTGGGAGTCCAGCAACATAGCCATTATGCTAACTGCTGGTTCCCCCCAAGCTCTCTTTTTGAAAAGACTTATTTTGTATTTGCAATTCGGTTTCTGCCACAGCCACCCCAGGTATCTGCTTTCCTTTTGTCCTTTTTAGATTGAAGCAGACTGGAGGGAGGGAGAGAGAGAGAGACAGACAGACACACACACACACACACACACACACACACACACACACACAGTTGTGTGCTGGTTCTTCCCCATTTTCTGTTGTGTCCTCTACCTGACCGCAGGGTTGATAGGAATTTCTGCACCTTGGGTGAGAGGATCCCATGTGGTCTGCTCCCACCCTTTAGGTCCAATCACTGGCTGTCCATTTCAGAGAGACAGGATCCAAATCACTCAGTTTGGAAGATGGATGGGCTGGAGCCCAATGTGTTCATTTCATTTTTGTCCTATACTTAACTGCCTGGAAGCTGGAAACCCTATCCTCATGACTCCTCTTCCCCAAGGATGGGAGGGTTCAGGCAGGCCCTATTTCCCAAGATGGCAGCATCCATGTAGTGGCTGGGCTGAGCTGCCCCCTTGGCCTTGGCCTCTACATTTCCTAGGTAGAAATCTGACATTTCTTCAGCCTGGCTCAGTGGCCCACTTGGCTCCATTGTCTGCCCTTGGCAAAGCACCCAATGAAGCCAGGGTCATGTAAGAGGTGACATCACAGCCAGGGAAATGTGGAGGGACTCTCAGGAGAAGGCATGATCTGATGACACGATTCCTATGTGTTATGTCTAGTGACCCTCACAGGCCCACAGGAAGGTCACGGATGGCCTTCCAGATAGAGAGCTGGCCTGGGAGAGGGGAACACCCAACCCAGAGCCATATGGTGGGTGGTGGCGAACCAAAGAGGGCCCTAATGACACCAAATCCGGTTGTTTTTCATTGTCTCTCACTCCCCAAGAGAGAACCACTGTGTTATCAGTGTGCTCTCAGCTAGGCAATCTGCACATAGGTGGCAAGAGACCCTGGGTCTTTACCTGAGACTCTTTTCTCAGCTAACTGGTAAACCTCACTGAAGGCTACAGGCTGGGCTAACTCAGGGAGTCATGGGACATTAGGAGTAGTCAGGCTAGTGGGAGAGGGGTTGAGGGAAGGACAGCCCCTACCAGACTTCTGTGGGCTTTCCCAAGCTCTCCTGTAGGAGACCAGCTTTCATATTTTACAGAAGCTTAGTGTTTTATTTGCTCAATAATAGACTTTTAAAATAAGCTTTGGGTCCTTGGGTGAATTGTTTTTCTTTGGTTCAGTTTCCCCATAGGTTTTGGGCTTGGTGGTTGACTACAGTGATTCTGAGAGGACCAGATGCGTGTGATGCCTGGCCTGATTCGTGGACCTCATTTTG